TGATTGCGTTTAACCCTCTCCATCTCTGGGGTCTCTGACACTGACGTGCCGTGTCCCACTCCTTCTTTGTATTGATGCTTTGAACGAGACAGCACAAAAACAGTCATATGTAGCAGTAATGCACTCTGTGGTCGATCAGTTCTCAACCAAGCAGAGAGGAACGCACAAATAAATAAATAAAAATATCCAGAAGATAGAAACAAATTATAGGAAAAGGGAAAAATATCTAAAGCAAAAGTGAACCAGTTCTGAGGAAAACAAGGAATTGTTTATGAAACTTGGTTAGAATGAATGAGGAGAGCACATAAAGTTTCTTTTAGACAGGAAGAGTTTGGGGGGGTATTTTAAGGAGGGGGATCACTGCAGCATTGTTCTACCAGACTGATATTCTTCTGGGTTTCTCGGACCCGCTTCACCTCAGGGAGATCTGGTATGGCTGTACCTTGACCCACAGATTCCTTGTACTGTATCTGCCCATTGCAAATGTCACAGAGGTACAGAACAAGACAAGTGAATATACCAAATACACTTAAGAACATCTGATCATGAGTGACTTACTGGTGAAATGGGTGATGGGGTTGTTTATACAATAGATGGTTCATTCTTTAGGCTCTTATTTTGGTACTTAAATTATTATTATTTTTTTTTACTTACAAATATAACAGTTTAGACTAAATTTAATTACACTAAATGACCAAAAGTCTGTAGATACCTGAGTAGTACACCTGTATAATTTTTGTTCTAGCTCACTTCTAAAGTTGCCTACTTATGCTGGGTGAAGAGGCCTGGTGTTACAAATACTGTTGAGTACCAAACTAACCCAACATAACCCTCGCTATATCGCTGTCACTAGGGGTGTAACAATACACAAATCCTGGATGGGTACATACTTTAGTTTTGGAGTCAAGGTAGAGTTCAGGGCTGGTAAAACAAGAAAAAATAACCATCTTGTTAATAAGAAGTGTGTATTGTGTAAGTTATCCGTCATCTAGCACATGGCAAATCCCAAGTGCTTAAATCAAAGCAACTGGGCTATTTTCTTGCTTGTTGAAGATGTTTTATTTTTTATTTTTTGTCCGAGGAGCTTTCTTAATTATGCAACATTACACAAGTCAAGTTTAATGTAGGGTTTGTGTCTCCTGGTGTCTGGCCCCATCTTGTGGTGTATCTTGATCCTGCTCCCTTGTGTATCATTACCTCAATTCCCCACACCTGTGAGGCTCAAAGGTGTTGTGTGTTTGTTCTCGATAGTGTCTGTATTTAAGCATGTGTGTTTGTCTTACTCCATGTCCTCACATTGTTATCTGTTCACTGGTGATGACCCGTTATGCTCCCTGTGTACTCCTGGATTATATATGTAAGTTTGCTGCCCTGCCAGCCTTTTCTTTTTGTAAATAAACACTTATTTAATTATACTCCTGAGTCCTTGGCTGCCTGCCTGCACCATTGGGTTTACCAGCACCTGTCACTTAGTAACTTCACTGTAAAACAAAACCTAAAAAAGTCAGCTTGTGCCATCTTATTTGTCTGTTTAGAACTGTAAACCATTCAACACCATGTACCAAACTAATCACTCACGCCTAGCTTCTCATCTCGCTGAGTGCTAGTTTGTACTGGGGTGGCATGTATTAAATACCCGGTGAAGTATTTAACGTCACTGCTGCTGTGCCTCTGGGAACAAAAAATAAATAAAATTTCCACACAGCTGATTTGAAACAAATCTTCAACTTCCTGTGCTTTATCAGAACTGTGCATTAGTATTTTCCACAACAGCTTGTCTAGATGAGAGTGGTGACCAGCACATTACTCATCTGATTTCATGCACTGTGCACTCTCTGTACCATGATGGTTGGGTACAAATACATATTTCATTACACCCTTAATTGTCTCATGTGTCAGTATATGTGTTTGCATCAATTTACAATTCTCTTGGAAATAAGAAGTCTGCCTAGTAAAAAAACAGACAGCTCTGGTTGAAAACTAGACGATAAGCGGCCTGTATCATACTTTTGGTCATCTAGTGTAATGAGGAAGTGAGCCGTCATACAGCAGTACTTAAAGATGAAAATGGGGCTCTATGTCTGATTTGTTTTCTTCTGTTAAAAATGATTGGTGACAATGAAGCTTTAAATTAGTAAAAATGATTGATTCTAATAAGTAAAACAAGAAAAAGTTCAATCCAGTTCTTATGGGAAGATATTACATGAGGTATCAGTTCTGGTTTTGTTCTTAGACGCTTGACAATGAGGGAAAAATGGTGGGAAAACTGTGGTTGAGGAGATGGTCGGGGTCACTCTGTAGAGTACCGCGCTAATGTTCCGCTGGTTTTGTTTAACTCTCTCCATCTCGGGGGTCTCAGGCAAAGCAGTTCCTCCTCCCAAGTCTTCTTTGTAATGAATCTTTGTTTGAACAAAGAATGGAAGCAAGCAGAGGTTAGCTTGATTTTTTTTTTTTACTTCTAAGAGTATGAGCGCTGACGTAGCTTTTAAAAAGTACCTGATTTAGTTCAGCAGTACAAATCACAAAAAACAACAGCACAAACAAACAAAACAGAATGACAAAATCAAATAAATTCAAAGCACACGTGATGCTCATGACAACACACAAGCTCTGCACTAACCGACACAAACGTTGCACTACAAAACAAATTTTAAGGATTAGTTGCATCAATTAAAATGCTGGTTTGTAAGAATATAAAAAATATTGTTCAAGAAATGAAAACTTAATGTCAGATTTTGTTAAAGAAAAAGTTATAAAAACCAAAACGTGTTACGAAGTAAATACCAAGCTGAAATTCTTTGTATTTTCTTTAACGCGAAGCATTTCAGGTGTGTCCTTTACAGTAGACACTTTGCCCTTTATGTTTTTTAGGTCAGTCTGGTACTGAAGCTACAAGAAAAGAAACAACACTGTGGTTAAAATGTTTTACAAAGATAGAAATTTAAAACATAAGAGAAGTCAGAGCGGGAAGAGAAAACATAAAAAAAAAATAAAGTCCACCTTTGTATTCCTGAGGTCAACATCTGGCACTTATTAAGGCACAAACAATGACACAACACTTGAAACTTTACACTAAGAGTGCAATACAAAAAGTTCTTAAAGTCCAACATACACCTTTTTTTTCATATTACATATACAGCAAAAAAATGGATGAGACATAAATATCTATGTTCTGTGCAACACAACGAAAAGTAATGCAAACTGGTTTTAAAAATGTCGTTTTTTTGACGATTTCGAGCCGTTACAATCTCTGCTTTGGAAACGGCCTTCCATATCTGGGGTGTGACATCACGCCAGGGACCCGATCATGTGAGACAGCCGAATATCTACCGCACAAGGCTGGAGACAGCTGCAAAGACGAGCAGCTTCACGAAGAATACACCACCACCCCCGTCAAACAAACAACCCCCCACCTCTTTTCTGACTGAGGCTCCAGGTTATTTGTCAAGCATCAAAAAAATCTACAGGAAGAAGAAAAAGACGCAGAAGTTGAAGGAAGTTTGGCGGCAACAGAGACGCAGCGAGAGTGGGAGTGAATAACGAGATTTGAGAGACGTGTTATAATTAACATGTTAGGATTTTATAGTTAGGCGGCACGGTGGCTCAGTTGGTAAAGCTGTTGCCTCTCAGCGATAAGGTTGCCAGTTCAAATCCCAGCCTTCTGTGAAGAGTCTGCATGTTCTCTTCGTGCTGCGTGGGTTTTCTCCGGGTGCTCCGGTTTCCTCCCACAGCCCAAAAACATGCATGTTAGGCTGATTGAAAACTTTAAATTGTCCCTAGGTGAGAGAGAGAGTCAAGTTTGTCTCGTTTGTCCCTGTGATGGACTGGAGACCAGTCCGGGGTGTACTCCGGTGACACCCGCGACCCGAAAAGGAAGAAGCAGGTAAAGGTAATGGTTGGATGGATTTTAAAGTTAAGAGTGTGTAATGTGTTTTAGTTTAATCACTTTTAGTGTTGGAGTCAAAACAACGAGGCGATTTTTGAACAAGAAGCTGCTGCTTGGGGGGGCGGAGCCACAGGATCAACGTTCTCAGACAGGAGAGGTAAAGATGAAAAAGAAAAACAGAGTCTGAGACAGAGCGAGGACTTTGACGAGAAAGTGGCAGATCCACTATTTATTTAAGAAAAAGAGGAAGCGTGCACCAAGCACCGCCTCCTGTCGGTGCCGGATGCCTGGCGTGACGCCATCAGCCTTCTGGTGACTGGTTTGTTTAATCTTTAAGATATGTTGAGATCTTACCGCAGACAAAGACATTGACAGAACTACCAGCCTGACCTGGAATCTAAAGCTGGCCTGAATGACAAGATGACTCAGGCCCAACAGGAACTGTTATTTTACTTACAGTGCTGAAGTTCCTCTGGTTCTCACGGACCCTCTGCATCTCTGGGGTGTCGAGGACTGGTACGTAGTGCGACATGGTCTTCTCAGCTTCTTCTTTGTACTTTTTCTGTTTAAATAAACCAATTATCAGATATTTTAATGTTTCCACAAAGCTGTAAAGTGCTTCCACCCAGTGTAGTCTATGTGATACGCTGGTATACGGAGGACACCCACTAGAAAAGCCTGGGAATTCCAGTATACACACTAAAATGTGCCCAGTGTCATGTATCATTGGGCTCATGTCATTGTCAACACGTTTGGAACATTTTATAGACACATTGAGTTGGTTCAACCTGTTTATCGTTTAATTAATACTTTTTTTGTATAATGAACACTTGAACATGTTTTGCTTTGATACTCTTTTATAAATTCTACATTTTTAATACAAAGCCAACTGCTGTACAAAGTTTGTTGTATATTTATTCAAATAAAAGCATCAGAGAAATTTTGAAATGTTCCAATACGCTTAAAAATCTAAATAAATTAACGATTCCGTGTACTAACCAGTGTACTTTGGTTTCTAAGCACAGTACACCCGCTACAAAAATGTAGACTACACCAATGCTTCCACCCCCACTCCCCCCATGTTGTCCAGTTGGGCGACTACCTGGCTGACAATGTTCCTCATTTGCTGAGCGTGGATGATGTCAGGGGTGTCGATGACAGTCGTGTAGCTGGCTCTGTCCATCTCAGCAGTGTGCTTGTACTTAGCCTAAAAACAAAACGAGCGATAAAAGTGGCAGCACCGACTTTGGTTGTGACGTCACCGCGGTTAGAAGCGTCACACAACAAATACATCAACGCCTTCAAGTGACGGGTTCAGACCTGACTCAGGATATCTGTGGCGTTCCTGGCTCTCATAAAGTCTGGGGTGTCTGTAGCTAAAGCCAACATTCCTTTGCCCTTTATCTCCTGCTCCAGCGCCTTCTTGTATTCTCTCTGTAAATATGAAACATCGTCATGAATATTTATTATTATCATATAATCATCATAGTTCATTCAGACAGAGGAGGGCTGCAAACCAAAACTCCTACAAGGGGACAGGGAGTGAAGCAGGTTAGCAGAAATGAGGGAGATTATTTATGGGACAAGTATGACGGCTGGAAAACAAAATGTGCGCAAAGACTCAGCAAGAAAGGATGAATATTTATATCTTTCGTCAACTTGTTTAAAAAATGTCTTGGCAAACGAGAAAAAAAAAAACCAATGAAACGTTTCTTGTTCTGTAAACTAAAATCGAACAATAAAATTCCACAAATGACCTTTTAGCGTTTTAAAAGAAACTTGTTTTTCATCAAACTTAAATCAGAATAAATAGAGTATTGGTGGCAAACGTGCGCTGACAGTAAGGGATGCACCAGTTGACCAGCTGGACCAGAATAAATCTGATTTTATTTTACGTCCTCGAATGCACAACTGATAAATTCCTAACTTGCTAATTTGAAGTTCTCTGTAAGAAATGGTAAATGTACTGTATTTATGTGGTGGCTTTCTATGTGCACACATCGGGACACATCAGAGGCAGTGAGGGGTTCAGTGTCTTGCCCAAGGACACTTCAGCATGTGACTGCTGGTGGAATTGAACCCCCAACTCTCCCATTGGAGGACAACTGCTCTAACCACTCAGGCACAGCCTCACATGTGTATATGATGTTTAAAACTGAAATAAGAAGCAGCATTAAAGGCGTAACTCTGTTCACATGGGCGGAGGAGTTCAGTTAAACTACAAGTCAGCCGTATTAAAAAACTACAGAATAATTTGTCTTTATTGGTGTAATTATCGTGATTGATCAGGGCAGGCTGTTCATTTATAGCAAATAATTACAATAAAATGAATTAAATATAGATGACGTTTAACTTAAAGCCAGAATTTTTCATCAGAATTTGGACATAGCTGCAATTTTTTTTATACAGTTCTTGTAGAAAAAACAGAATTTCCAATGAAATAGTGCACTTTTGTGTTTTGGTCTTATAAAACAGCTAGGCTTTATTTTTTTTTAAATATATCTTTATGTGTACAAATACCTGCGTCTGATCATTTGAAGGGCATTATTTTGTAGATTTCCAGTGACGGAAACCTAACTGTGTGTAACCTGGTGTTGTTATTGAGAAAACGTAAATTACTGCATCATAGTTCTTACTAACAGTCAAACTTTTAAATTAGCTTTATTCTTTTAAAGGTAGTTATTTCACATAAATCATAATAAGGTAAAAAAAAAATCTGTGTCACCGTGTCAGAACTGTACAAAAACAAACAAAACAAAAAAAAATTGGAACCAGCCGTTAAATGATCAGAAACATTGTTTTAGACATAGTTAAAAGAAGAGCAGTGAAAAATGAGTCATGTCATGAACCCTTTCAGTGTGGTGATGAAGCTTTGTTAAGGAGGAAGAGGGTTTCACTAAAAGCAGGATTATAGGGAATCGCTCGGAGCGTGAAGCCACTTCCATCAGCTCCCGGTCAGCCGTACCTCACACAGGATATGAGTGGCATTCTTTGCTCTCAAAAGCTCCGGAGTTTCCTCCAGTGCAGTTAGCCCTTTACCCTTCACTCCCTCCTCTAGATCCCTCCTGTACTCTTTCTACACGACGGAAAAAAGAACAGAGAGACTGCAGAGATGGGCACACAGGCAGGCCGGGCCGAGGCATACAGACAAGGCATGAGCTCAAAGTCACCAAAACCTCCCTTAAAAAAGAAACGTGGACCGTGACCGAGGAACGTCAGTCAAGTCCCACGGAGAGTGGAGATATGGATGACTTTGGCAGGAATCGAAATAAACACATTTTGACGGATAAAGCATGAAAAGTAACATCAAAACAACAAGAAAACAAGTCAGCATATCACGGAAAACATTAGTGTTAAAAAAAAAAAAAAAAAGGTTTGCCAGCTCAGTTGTCCTGGTAGATACAAAAAAAATGGTTAAATCAGGTCATATGGACAAGTTTGTTTTAGGGAGAACCGTTTGGTCTTTCATCTGAAAGACTTCATGAGTGTGAGGCCTGCCAACCCAGACCAGTCTTATAAATAGCACCTCACTGATGTGTTTCAAGTCCCGTTGAATTCCCAGAAACTAAAAGGGACCATCCGTCCGAAACAATCAATCTGAACCATTTTGGGCTCAGGATGCTTCTGCAAGTTGGCCATCCGGCCTAAAACATTTGATTGTTATGTTGATGATTGATCGTTTTGGACAGATTGTCCCTTTTTGCATGCGTTAAATCCAGTTTCTGGGAATTCAACATCAATGAGGGGTTCTTTATAAGACAGATCCTGTTGGCAGGCCTCACACTGATGAAGTCTTTCAGATGATTAAATAAACTTGCCCAGATGACGATTTAACCTTTTTTTTTTATTAGTGTTTTTAATTCGGACAACTGAGGCTGCATAAAGATGATGGACTGACAGTGAAATGAGAAAGTCAGGATGTCAGTGGGCACAACTTTAAAATCCAGGATTTGTGCTGGAAAAACATGCATTTGGTGGAAGGAGGGCAAATCCTGCACCACCGTCATGGTTGTGCAGTCAATCATGCCATAAATGACAATAAACCTTATAATGGGCTCGTAAAAGGTAGAAAAAACAAGTAAGATTAAAAGAAAGAGGGACTGAACAGTCAGTATGATTATAAAATAGTGGGAGGTAAAATGGGAAAATGAACAGGAAACGCCGTCTTTCCGTTACCTCACTGGCTATTTTGGTGGCGTGTCTGACATGAATCATGGCGGGGGTGACCTCCAAGCCTGAGAGGTTTTTCCCCCTCATGTGCTCCTCATAGTCCTTCTTATAGTCTTTCTAGTGGCCACAAACACAAGACAGACAGAGCTGAGACGATCACATGCAAGCAGAGCTGATCGACAGCGCGGCAGCAGAAGAGTCCTCGTTTGCAATAAAACTGTATCTGAAGAACAATTTTAATGATTTTTCATATTTTGTGAGCAGCTCAACCTTAAGCTGAGTTATTAGTGGTCAAAACGCGTGACTGGTTTTAATTTTCCTCAGGAATAATTTAAACTTCAGGCTCCATAGCAGTGATTTTGATCACGTAGATCTAGTGATGAATTTGTAAACAGTCCCAAATATTAATAAAAAGTAGCTGAATCGTAATTTTAATGCTGTAATTTTATATTTTCAAACTTCTGACACATTTTGTAAGTTAGGCAATAGACCGATGCTCATCAGCAGACAACAAAAAGCAATGCAAAAAGCCTCTAACAGTATTTGGACATGAGTGAGCGCGTTTTAGCTGTGAATATTTACCTGGCTCTGCAGGTGCTGGGCCTCCTTAGCGGTCACGTAGGTGGGTGTCTCGAAGTCCAGCATGGGTTTACCCTTCTCTTTCTCATACTTCTCCTTGTATTTAACCTGGAACGGCCCACATATCCATAATTTCACAAGGGTTTCACTTCAAATATCTCATCTGGTTTGCATAAATGTGCTTGGGGTGTTGAATCTCTCAAAGCAAGAGTCAAATTTTTAAAGTTAAACAACAAGAAAATCTAAATAAATGTGAAATGTCTAACTTTTCACACCTTAACACATTTTGACGATTTATTAAAAGCTTATTTTAAGTTGTGCATACATATGCAAGGATAGTGAATGCACTAAAAGTCCAAAACACAGCCCTGAAAACTACAAAAAGGATTGTTTATTTTTTAACTAATCAAAAATAAGTAAAAATAAGCACAAATCATTGTATAATTAGTTTATATGAACTAAAATTTCAGTGGTTCCCAACCCTGGTCCCTGAGGAACACCATTCTGCATGTTTCAGTTGTGTGTTGCTCCAGCACACCTGATTCAGTGATTTAATGACTTCCTCAAGTTCTGCAGAAGCCTGTTAATCATCCGTTCATTCAAATCAGGTGCGTCAAAGCAGGGAAACAACTAAAACATGAAGGATGGTGTTCCTCAGGGACCAGGGTTGGGAACCTTTAAATGATGTAGTATAAATGTGTGGCCTCTAAACTTAAATCCTTTCCAAATGCAGCCCCATCTACCCCTAAAAGAAGAATCTACAACACAGTATTGAGCAGTTGTAAACAACAACAATGGTTTTGGGGGGTGGGGGGTTGGTGAAGTGTTTGTTGCCCCCTGCCATAAGTTTGCACCACTTACGTTGCTCTGAAGTTCAGAAGCCTCCTTGTGATGAAGCTGCTCTGGTGTGTCGGGAATCATGTGGTAGTGACCCTTACTCTCCTCAAATTTCTTCTTGTAGCGGTACTACGGTAAAGTAAGGCAGCTCAGTAACAACAGACGGGAAGAAGAGTGTCTGTCTGGAGTTTACTCCATTACACTGCACAAAATCAACTTTAGCTTTAACAATTAAAAGGGGATACATCCCAGTAGAGTATTAGGGATTGAGGGTTAGGTGGTTAATAATCAGACTTTTGTCTGAACTACAACACGAGGTCAAAGGTGAGAAGGGTAAGGACAGGAAAAGTTAAAAAGGGTGAGCGGGTAAGGACCACTACCAGATGAGGTTTGGGATAATGAAGGTTTTTAGGATGGATCTTAGTGCTTAAATCCATGAGGAGATCGCTGTTGTATGTTGACTGTTACTGATCTCTTCTGGTCGAGGGTGAGGTTCTGCCTCCAGTGGAGGAGTTCAAGTATCTCGGGGTTTTGTTCACGAGTGAGGGAAGAATGGAGCGTAAGATTGACAGATGGATTGGTGCAGCAGCTGCAGTACTGCGGACTCTGTGCCGGTCCAATGTGGTGAAGAGGGAGCTGAGCTGTAAGGCAAAGCTCTCTGTTTACTGGTCAGTTTATGTTCCTATCTTCACCTACGGCTACAAACTCATGGGTAGTGACCGAAAGAACGAGATCATGGATACAGGAGGTTGAAATGAGTTTCCTCCACAGGGTAGCTGGACTCTCCCTTTGAGATGGTAAATGGACTGTACTTATACAGCACCTTTCTATCTTATCCAGACACTCAAAGCTCTTTACAACACGTGTCCTCATTTATCCATTCACACAGCGCTCTACTAGATCTCTACAAAGAATAATCAGAGCTTTATCACATTCATACACCGATGGTACACACAACGGAGGAGGCAATGAGGGGTGCAGTGTCTTGCCCAGGGACACTACGTCATGTGACTGCTGGTGGAATCGAACCCCCAACTCTTGCATTGGAGGACGACAGCTCCAACCACTCAGCCACAGCCACCCCCAAGAGACAGGGTGAGAAGTTCAGTTCTCCAGGAGAGACTCGGAGTAGAACCGCTGCTCCTCCACATCGAGAGGAGCCAGTTGAGGTGGTTCATCTGGTAAGGATGCTCCCTGGGCGCCTCTCTAGGGAGGTGCTTTGGGCATGTTCAACTGGTAGGAGACCCCAGGGAAGACCCGGGACACACTGGAGAGAAGATGTCTCTCTGTTGGCCTGGGAACACTTTGGAGTCCTCCCAAAGAGCTGGAAGAGGCTGTGGAGAGAGATGTCTGGACCTCCCTGCTCAAGATGCTGCCCCGCGACCTGAGTCCAGAACAAGTGGAAGATGATGGATGGATGTTAGGGTGGAGAACTTCAGATTATCTCAAACTACTGAGGGGGACTGAAACTGAACAGCTGCCTGAGTGTGAGTGTGACCGTGTTAAAGGATGATGATGATGGTGATGATGATGATGATGTCTTACGTCACTGGACAGTTTGCTGGTGCTCAGGCTGTGCTGCATGGACAGAGACTCAGCCATGTCGGTCACAGGTTTGTGGATCTTCTTCAGGTCACCCTTGTACTTCACCTGTGTGTTGTTAACAAATGCTTTTTAATTTTATTATATTAAAATGTAAAAAAAAAGAAAAGCAGCGAATCAAAGACCCCCCCCAGTTCAACACACATGAGCAAACTGTGGCCAGAAGTCGACCTTGAACCATCTCAATCTGGCCCACACAGAAAACAACCTCAACAACGAATAAAACCCAGATTTTAGTAAAGTTCATGTATATTTCTGCCCTGTGGGGGCTAAACAGTTTAAAATAATTACACTGATCTGGTGTGTACTGATGAAGGTGATGCACCTACCTCACTAGCCAGGTCATTAGCATCCTTCAGAGTTTTGTAAATCTTGCTCTCCTTCAGGTCAAACTGCGGTTTCTTTCCTTTCACCTCTTTATCAAACTTCTCCTTGTACTTCACCTGATGGGACGAGACATACGTTAGCGTGAGACCCTCTTTAGGACAGACTAAGAGTCTGCACATCCACAATAGACCAGTGTTGGATATATAGACATACATACAACGCAGTTTTGGTAATTATTAAAATATATTAGTAAAATAAACTAAATATAGTTGTTTTGTTTGTTGCATGCTGTATACCAAATTTTGACAACTAAGATGCAATGTTGACTTCTGTCCATTGCACAATCCATTGAAAACAACAGTGTTTAAGCAATCTCTAATACGTTTCATGCATCTTTAGATTTCTTTTATTCAGTCGTCAATCATGGTTCAAATTAATCCCAAATGATAGACTCAGCATCTTTGGCACTTTAATATGAATATAGACTTGTATAATAAAATCACAAACAAACTAATGTCACCGAGGAGACAGACGGAGGACTATATGTGTTTATACCTCCAAAGTCAAAATTCATTTGGGATTAATTGCAGTTCATGCATAACATGACAATGCATCTGACTGAATTTACTTCTCCATGGCCATTCAATTTAAGAATTTTTTGACGCAGTCAATGCTGGGAATAATTTGTTACCGACTCCAAAAGGTAGGAAACACTTGATTTGCTATTTGTTTCCTATTTACTATTTTCCCAGTTGACAATACACCAACGCTTAAATGACAGTATGTCGTGATGCATGCTCAGTAATCCAGGTAGATAAATCTAACAAGGTTGAGTCAGGTCCTCTGGACGGTTTCTTTGTTGAAACGTTTCGTCTTTTATCCAAAAGACTTCGTCAGTCTGAGGAGCTGCAACAAACCCAGTCCTATAAGCTTCTCATAGTGGCTCAACCAGTTTGCTGATGACAGCCAATAAATCAATTTAAATTTGAAGACAAACATGTAGCAGCAGCAGCCCTTTAGCTTCAGGCCATGAGCCTCCTTACATCACTAGTCACTGCATTCATTTTCTTAATGTGGCGCATCAGGGGGGTGTCATAGGAAGAAGCTCCATGGAGGGAGGCCTTGGCCTCCACCTACAAAGCACGGTGAGATGGAGGAATGAAATTACAAAGACAAAGACATCATGGAGTTAAAGATGAGTGGAAAGAGATTAGGACTACCAGCGTACAAGTAGAGGGGTGGAGGAAGAGGGGAGGGAATTAGGATTAGGAACGAGGGGTGAGACATGTACATTATGATCAGTTAAACATCTACGGAAGATTAAAACATGGACTATAATGAAGATTAAAACATGGATTATAATGCAGGATGGCAGAGAAAGCGCTACGGAGGAGCTACTAGTCATTAGGTCATCGGGACTACAACGGCAATAATTAGGCTGTAGAAGGTGATCTGACAGTAAAACCTTCAGTAAGTAGATCTTTGTGTGTGTCATGGCTACCACTGATGGATTTAAATGATCCAGATTAAAGAGAAAGACAGAGACGGAAACGTGCACCCAGGGATTCAAACGTTTGATGTACCTGGCTGGTCAGCTGGGACACATGCGTTGCCAAAGCGATGTCTGGGCGGTTAACCAGGGAGCCCCCACGGCTGGCCTCTTCACGGGCTTTCTCACGGTAGCCGATCTGACGGACGAGAGACCAAACGAGGTTCAGTGACGTAAAAAAACACAAACTGTGCTCCGCAGGTGTGAAGGCTCAGGTGTTGCATTGTTAGACTGGTGTGTGTTTGAATGACAACTCCGTCGTTTTGTTGTCCCTGCTGTCCTCTACGTCTCATTAGCACTGAGCAGGTGAGAGCAGGCCTGCGCAAACACAGCTTCATTGTGGAGTGCCGTCTCTACGCCATAACCGATGCTTACCTCACTAATCAGTTTGGCAGCCTGCGTGGCCTTCCTGATGTCAGGCCGGTCGACCACGGTGGTATAGTGCAGGTTAGCTTTGGCGTCTTTCTTGTAGGCAACCTGCAAAGGAGTTACAAAAAGTACAGCATGCACTGAAAATTGAGAAGTACACCAAAAGGTGGGTACTGATGAACCATGGAAAAAGACGGACATTGCTCTGGCTCTTCGCCACATCCATGGCATGCTGAACATCCGGTGGCACGATCATTTGGTTATACTCTGACTTGCCCTTCTCCTTCTCAAACTTCGCCTTGTACTGTTTCTGTAAAAGAAGAACGTGGTGTTGAAGGCAGCTGCATACAGTCCAGGTTCATGAGGTTCATGCATGATTTTTTTTAACAAAAAAGGTAAAGTTGTACCGTGCTGACAAGCTTTTTGACCTCCCTGCTGTGGGCAGTGTCTCGAGTCTCGGGCAGGGTGGTGAATGAGCCGGACTGCATGGTCTTCTTACTGGCCTCCTTGTATTTGCTCTGAGGACGAGAACAAGGAAGTTTTATTAATGTTGTTTAATCCATACATGACAAAGTCTTACGTAAAGGTCTACAAATCCTGGCTGGCTGTGTTAACGTTTGATCCTCACCTCTGAAGCGAGCACGCGCACAGCTTTGGCATGGAGGATTTGAGGAGTATCCAGAACAGGCACGTAGTGTCCTTTGGACTTTTCATATTTTTCCTTGTACTTCACCTGCAGAGGGAAATAATTAAGGTGCTCAATCTGTCGTGCAGCCCTTCTGAAACAACATTTTATTTGCCTTTTTCAATTTGTTTCATACCATCGCTAACTAAGAAGGGAAAGACTTACTTGACTGGCCATTTCAGCGTTTTTCTTGTACAGTTGGGTGTACATGTCTTCAGAGACAGGTATCACGCAACCCTTCATCATCTCTTTGTCGTACTTGTACTCCACCTGTGGGTTAAACACGGTGAGAAAGATCAGAGGTAAAACTGTATTTACAAAGAATCCGAGTTTAAAACGAGGCCCGCTGACTCACATCGCTCTGCTGCAAGGAGTTTTTGGCGGCGTTGACAAAGTCTGGTCTGCTGGGCGTCCAGATCCACTTGTTCTTGGTCGCCTCGTACTTCTTCTTGTAGTCGAGCTAAAATTTAGAAAACGTGTTTGAAGCTGCGTTTCAGTTCTGATCGTTTAACTCACCGCACAGTTGTCGATCATGCTGAAGCTGCTTACGTTGCTGATGTTCTTGTAGGCCTCCTTGGCAGCGCGGATCTCATGAGCCTCGGGGTCCATGTTGATCTGGGCTTTGCTCTTCTCGTACACCTCCTTGTACTTCAGCTGCAAGAAGCATGACAGCACACCATCAACCACTGCGTGTTTAAGTGGTATTAGAGCTGTGGGCTGTGAGAAGGGGACCTACGTTGCTGGTGATCTCCTTGACCTTCTTCATGTGCTGCTGGTGTGGCGTGTCGTAAGGCAAGGTGTATCCCTTTGCTTTGGTTTTGTTGTACTCCATCTTATAGATGATCTAAGAACATGTAAGGAATGATATGGTCAGGTGAAATAAGATTTTAAGAAGCTGAAATATAATTTTCTAAATTCAAATTATGCCAGAAAAAGACGAACACAAAACTCACATCCGTTATCTTCTTGCTGCGTTTGTGAGCTTCGTACTCGGGAGTCTCCAGAACCGACGTGAACTTGTCTTTGGCGCGCTCGTACTGCTCCCTGTACTTCCACTGGAGGACGACGAGCGAACGCAAGAGAGTTGGAAAAAATTTACTACTTTTTGCTTCTAATTTATAAAATCAAGAGAAAGCTATCCATAAATATGAACGGGTCCTTAAGTAGTATGTGTAAAATGATTAACATTAAAATCCAAACAGTCATAGTTTGACCAAAACAAATCAGTTTATTCCAATATTTATATTAAAGGTTTAATAGAGCGTAACAAAGTTAAGACAAATAACTAATCACTTTATCAATTCTAATGTTTATTTTTGGATAGTTTTCTGTAAACATCAAATAATACAGAAACATGTAGCAAATCATCTATTATTGTCTAAAAGGTTAGTGATGTGATGACATGCAGATGTGCAAATGAAACGACACACAAAGAACGAGGAGATATTTCCCGGGTGATTAATAAAAGATAATTGATCGTGAAAGTCCACGATGTTGCTGTAGCTCACGCTGATTTATTGTCTGCATGTTTATGAAGCTTTCACTCTATTCTGGTCCATTTTTCGTCCGTATGTTTTTCAACATCTTTCTCGTTCCACAATTTTTGTGATATTTCAACAAATCATAAATCTTTTTTCAGGACAATCCTGCTGTGACTGGTGCAACTTTAGCTTTTTGAAATATTTAGCCTTTTCTGCCATTTTGTTCCTCATAGAAAATGAACTGAGCTCATTTTACCTCCTTCACATCTTTAGGTATGTTTACAACATTTTACTGCTCCTTTCACATTTTGTTCTGCTCCAGCTTCTTCCAGCTTCCTTCTGCAAATTTAAACTTTTTTCAGCTACTTTCAGCCAATTTCAGCTGTTTTGTGCTCCTTTCTGCTTCTTTCAGCCTAACTGGGAAAATATGGGCTGTTTCTGGTTTCTTCTGATAATTTAAGCATGTTCGACTTTTTCAGCTAGCTTTAAAGCATTTTTTTTTTAGCTACGGTAATTTCAGCTGTTTTAAAAAAATCTAGTTTTTCTTGGTAATTTATGCTAGGTTCAGCCTAATTAACTTCTTTCTACTAATTTGAACTTATGCTCCTTTCAGCTTTTTTCTTTTTAGCTAATTTCCTAATTTTTGTGCTTGTTTCTGCATATTTAAGCCTAATTACACAAACATGTGTTCTTTCTGCTTTTTTCTCCTCTAACTTAGGCTTGTTCTTCCACTTCAGCAACATTTCAGCACATTTTTAGCTAATTTCAGCCGTTTTTCAGCAAGTTGTTCGGCAATAAGCATTCACAGTGCTTTTTAGCAGGAAATGCAATTTCTGTAGTTATAAATAAGATGGTCTGTAAATTAAAAAAGTTGTAATTTACAAAGAGATTACATGTGTGCCGTCTAAATTATATGTTTAAAATGTGTGTATATATATAGAGCGAGAGAAAATGCAAAAAGGAGGAAATAGTAATTATAACAGGTAGTGTTTCTTTCTTTGAAACGAGATGTGAATATCTGCTGCTCTATGTTCTGTTATTTAAATTTATTTGTGAATATTTGAACTGATGGAACAGAAACGTTTAGTATTAATTACAAATGTTTTCTTTTAAGAAATAAAATCAAATCCCCATTTCAGTTTTAATAGAAGTTTAAAGCTCAGATTCAATAAAATTTTCCGTTTTGCTCATGGTTTGCATCTGTTTTATGATCGTATTCACAAAAAAGTTTATTTTAATTACATCCTAGTGCAAACATGCTCATCAAGCTGATCAGGCGTGAAAGATCTGCAGACTTTCTGCGTCAAACCGCAGCAGTCCTCACTGCACAATCTGAACACGAACGTCCACCACAAACAGCATGCATGAAGAGACAGAAACAAAAAAAATCTCACAGTGACCGTCGTCGGGTCACAACACATGACGTTCACTGCTTAAAACTGCATGAACATCTGACTGTGCTAAGAATGGCATTTCTAAACCATTAAGAGAAATTATCATTCCATATTTTTCATTTAATAAATAAAAACGGGTCTTCTGTTTCTATCCTGAACCAAAGGGCGCTTGCTGCCCCCTTACCTGCAGGAGCTCCACCCCCTTTTCCACCGACATCATTGTCAGTGTGTTGCAGTCAGAGGTTAATGGTTAAATTAAAGGTTAATACTTAAAGCTAGTTGTGTTTTGTGTATAGATATATGTTGCAACTTCTGGTTGCATAAGTTTATTTTCTGTTTGCTTTGATCTTTTAAAAGTCCCATTTGTGACCGAGCTCCTCGTTTACGGCCACACCACCCTGAACACGCCTGATCTAGTCTGATCCCAGGGTCAGGCCTGGTTAGTACTTAGATGGGAGACCGTCTGGGAATACCAGGTGCTGTAAACTTTTGCTCTTCTCACAAAGCACACCATGGGGTGAGTTGTTCAAGCCAAGAGCCATTGTTAGTACTGGGGGCTAAGCACCCCTAAAGGTCAGACCCTAGACTCGCCCCTGTGAAGCTCTATCTGCTGAAACTAACACGTTTCGTTTCCTGGATGTAAATCAGCAGCAAGACAATTTCACAAATTATTTGACAACTTAGTTGCAGAAGCAATAATATCTGACACTTATGAACGAAGGTGGGATTGATTATATTTTTACTGATGTGCTTGTTCTCTTTTTTGTCAACAGTGCAGCAGGTTGCTTCTCTTCCTGTTTTTGTTCTTACCCCAATACAGTTTTCATCAATTCTCAAGAGATGGGAAATTTTAAATTATGACTACATATCGCTAAAAGCGTGCATACATTTTCATTGAAATGTAGATAAACTGAACCAGTGCATAGAAACTTATGTCTGCGGCGCGGTTTGAGGCGCACACCTCCCTTTGTGAGGGTTTGGCGAGCGAGTCGGATGTGCAAATTCACGACTAGCATATAATTCTTTAGTGAATTTGGGCCTAAACGTGTGAAATTTAAAGCTAATTTCAATTCTAGACTTTTGTATTTCTGATTTTAGAAATGCCCATTCAAGTTGAGAAATCATTTTAAAACGTGCTCAAGGAAAAAACAAAAGACAAAAGTTTAATGAATGGGGGATTAGAGCATGAATAAAAAGTAAAACCTCTTTTAGGTGGATTAAATGGATACATGAAGTTTCCGTTAAATGAGTATTTATTGTGATAAGGAACAAATCTGTGATTCATGAAACTACAGAGAACGTATCTCCAGTGGGTTTGTGGAAACACCACTGCTCTCTGACGGTTTACCTTACTGCCCATAATGGACTGGCAGAGGGCTGTGAGGATGTCCGGACGGAGCAACTCATTGCAGCCGCTCTTGAGCAGATCCTTTGCTCTGGATTTATACCTTTTCTGTTCACACAAACACAAACACACAGCATGCCACAGTTGAGAACCAAACTGAAACAACAGAAGCAACACTGGGAGGACTGGAGCAGAAGCTCCGGAGATCCGAGTGTGACCGTTTGTGTTCATCTGTGCCAACAGAGTGACGCTTATATTTTAATGTTTGAATTTGGCATTCCTTAAGATTTTAATCTGTGAAACGAGGGATTAAACTGTCTCTCTGGCTGAACAGATGAGTGAAGACAGCGGCCCAGCTGCAGTTTGAGTAGCGACAGAAACCTGTGCAGGACAAAAAGGAAACAAAGACAACGAGAAGAGGCTGGAACAGCAGGACTTTCATGCGGTGACCGCCACCATCAGGGCTGCCGACGCCTCATGCACATCTGGAGGACTGGACCGAGCAGCACAACCAGGACCGTTACCTGGCTCATCTTCCTGTTTTCCCTAGCCAGCTGGTATCTAGGGTCATCCGTGGTTATGGTGAACTTATCCTTGGTCTTCTCATAGTTAGCTCTGTAGAACCTCTGCTCAGAGTGTCAAAAAGTGGTTAAAAACGACAAACGTCTAGAAAAACAACACTGCTGTCATGTGACGGAGCTTCAGGAAAGAAAGCAAAGCTAGTCGATGTGGAAAACCTGAACACAGTTCAAACTGTTATTGATATAAAAACAAAAATCAAACGATAACAATAATTAACTGGTTTTATTTCCTTATGTTTTACCTTTAAATCGAGAGTCCAGTAGAGAAAACTCGGTCAATAATTTCAGCGTAATTTTACGAGTGAGAGTACAAATCAAATATGAATCCAGCCTTGATTTAAAGAAGGAAGAGACTCACGTCGTTGATGAGCATGGAGGCGTTCTTTGCAGCCTTGAAGACCGGAGTGTCGCAGGTGTACTTGAAGTTACCTCTGTTTTTCTCAAAGGAGGCTTTGTACAGTCTCTGTATATAAAAAAAGAGCTCACGCATCAGTAAAATGTACATTTTGAACGAGTATTTGAGGGAACGGATGTGTGAATTACCTCACTGTACAGTGCCTTGTTCTTGTCAGCCAGCTGCAGCTCAGGAGTGTCCCACGCGTAACATCCGATGCCCTTCAAGAACTCCAGGTCTTCTTTGTATTTGACCTGAAAACAGACATGAAAAGGATTTAAGACAAACACATTACAACATTATCTGCTGTGGAGGCTGTGACCTGTCAAAGTACTCACGTTGCTGACGTTATCGTTGACTATTCTGCTAAAGAAGAACTCCGGACGGTCTGGGATGGACTTCCACGTACCCAGAGAGTTAATATACTTCTCTCTGTATTTCACCTGGGGCACAGAAATGAAGAGAGTATGGGAGATCAAAGAGCGTGAATAGGAATTACAGCAACATTTGTTTGACAATTTGTTTTTGCTGCTGACCTCGCTGATGTCATCGGTGAACTTGCGGTGGCAGACGATGTCCAGAGCATCCTTGTCTGTGTGGTAGTGGCCCTTGGAAAGCTCAAAGGTCTCCTTGTAACGCAGCTGAAGAAAAGAAAAACAGTGCATGTGAGACTCTTCAAACTTTAAATATAAACATATTTATATATCATTTTATTTAAGCCAGTCGTTGCCATTCAATTGTGAAATTTGTATTTTTTGCACATACAGCACAAACGGAAGAAAAGAAACACTGAATTAACAAACTTCATCAACTAATATCCTAATTAGAGGCTATTTTTAAGCTAATACGCAAGTAAACTTTTGTTGTCATTGTGTAATATTAGAAACATCTGATCTAAAAATGATGCAGAAGAACTGGTCCATGCATTTGTCACGTCTAGACTGGACTATTGCAATGGTTTATTATCTGAGTGTCCAAATACGTCTTTAAAACGTCTTCAGTTGATCCAAAATGCTGCTGCCAGAGTCTTAACTGGAGTTACTGGGAGAGATCATATCTCTCCAGTTTTAGCTTCTCTCCAGCTGACAAGTCCAGAGTATAATTAAAATTTTTACTTCTAACCTACAAAGCTCTCAACAACCTAGCTCCATCTTATATTTGAGATCTTATTGTTTCATATTTTCCTAACAGAGCACTGAGAGCTCTCAGACTGCAGGTTTACTCGTGGTTCCTATAGTTTCCAAAAGCAGAATGGGAGGAAGATCTTCCAGTTATCAGGCTCCTCTCTTGTGGTCCGTGAGGCTGACACATTGTCCAGTTTTAAGACTTTCCATTTTGATAAATCCTATAGTTAGGGTTGACTTGGTCTCCTGACCTATCCCTTAGTTATGCTGCTGTAGGCTTAGACTACTGTAGGATAAATTAACCTCATTTCATCAAATGAGCAGTTACAAATGAATATAAATGAATAATTTGTATTTGTACTTGTTTCTATCTTAACATATTTTTTATTTAATCTTTCCTCCTAGAGAGGACCAGCTCGCCTCCATCCTGGACCTGCCATTCTGTGTCCGTTTCTACTTCCTGTCCTCTCCAACCCAGCCGGTCGAAGCAGACGGCTGCTTTTCCTGAGCCTGGTTCTGCTGGAAGTTTCTTCCTGTTATGAGGGAGTTTTTCCTTTCCACTGTTACCCTTGTGCTAGCTCAGGATGGGAGACTGCGACGAAGTGAAGATTCAACGCGTCTGCTGGTTTACTTCCTTAGATTGAAAACTGTTCTAATTGGCATTTATAATATATGTGAATATTAGTTTTGTTCAGTGCCTTGAGACGACTTCTGTTGCGACTTGGTGCTACAGAAATAAACTGAATTGAAATTAGTTTCAGAACAATTGTTTAGTCACACAGTGCACAACACATTTACAAGGACACTAAAGAGTTGGGTGGTTTGTGTAAAGTTGAGCTTTGCAGTCAAGCAAAACCCCAAACTGACTGAAGCTGAAGTATAATTAGGTTATTTATTGGGAATGCTTACATCACTGGACTGCAGGTACGCTTTCTTGCAACGTATCAGGAGAGGTGTATCAGCAATGGCAGTGTACCTGTGCTTCATCTTCTCATACTGCTCTTTGTATTTGGTCTGAGAAAAGAAAGAAAGAGACATAACAACACGTGAATAGTTTGAATAACAAGAGTTAGATCGGTTTGGTTGAAGATCTTTGCCAACTGAGATGCGTGCATTCTCATGCTACAGTAAAGTTACCACAGTTTGGAAAGTTACTGAACAAAAGAGGCTATTTTTATCAACATACGTGTGAAAAAAAAAATACAGTAAACTTGGCTAAGAATAAAAAATAAATGAGGAAGCAGCAGACTTACTTCGCTGAAGACCACTTTCATCTTCCTGGCATGCTGATTATTTGGAGTGTCAGATTCTGGAGTGAAGTGAGATCTCTCCTTTGCTGCCAGATCTGTGTACTGGTACTGTAAAAACAAAAGTATCGATAGGGTTACATACAATAAGTACATTCAGAGGATCAAATAGATGTTTGGGTGTGTTTCAACTTGCCTTATTAATCAGCTGCTGCGCCCACTTGACTCTCTTAATGTCCACAGAATCTACAGTGGTGGAAACTTTAGCCATGTCCTGCTTGCTCTGAGCTTTGTAGATCATCTGAAAAAGACGAGCGGGAAACGTTAAACCAAACTTGTTGCCAAGCAGAAGAAAACCAGACTGAGTGAGTCTCTTTTTACGATGCGACGACGCGTACATGTTAGTGGAGAAAACTTACATTACTCATGTGAGTCTTCAGCTCAGTCACACGCTTGTACTCTGGAGTGTCCAGGACCACGCTGAAGTTGGTGAGGTTCTTCTTGGCCTCCACTGGATAGCTCGTCTGTAAAGGCAAAACAACAGGTTGTGTAAATCGTGATATCATCATCATCACCTTTATTTAAGAAGATAAAACCCCACTGAGACCAAGATCTCTTTGGCCGTGAGTTCAGCAGCACACGTCATGAAAGAATAATCAAAGCATGACATAGGATAAAACAGTTATATCCACTTAGTCCACCAACATTTTGCTCTCAAGGAGATCTGGGATTTATACAATAGGCATAATGCCACAATTTTTATGTTTTATTGACGCCTCGAAAGCATTTGATCATGTAAATCATGGAAAATTGATTTATAAATTGGACGAAAGAGGAGTTCTGAAATTTTTATTACGAATCTTAGTGTACTGGTATGCTCACCAGTCTGTCTGTAAAATGGGGAAAATCTGTATCATCTTCTTTTTATGTGAGTAGTGGTGTGCGACAAGGCAGCATTTTGCCTCCTTGTTTTTTAACGTGTATATGGATGATTTATCTAAGCTGTTGAATTAATGTAGGACCGGCTGTTGGGTTGGCAATAGAACCATCAACCACCTGATGTATGCTGACGATCTTGTAATCTTTTGTCCATATAGTGCTGGTCTGCAGCAGCTGGTAAGGGTTTGCTCTCAGTATGGACTGGACTTTGATATTAAATATAATGCAAAAAAGAGTAACGTCACGATTGTCAGGAGCATAGAGGACCCTAAACCATCTTTCCCTGACTTCACTCTGTCTGGCAGCATCCTCCAAGTCAGTGAAGAGGTGGACTTGGGACATTACATAACCGCTGACCTGTCTGATGATAGGGACATTTACGGGCAACGTTGCAATATGTACAAGCTAATATGCTTCTTCGGAAGTTCTCTACGTGCTCAGTATCTGTAAAAACTGCACTCTTTAAAGAATATTGTACTCCAATGTGTACTGCCCACCCGTGGTGGCATTACAGAGAAAGCAGCGTGCGTAAACTTCAGGTGGTGTACAATGATGGCATGAGGACGCTGCTTAAGGTGCCGCAATGGAGTAGTGCCAGTCAGATGTTTGTAAATGCCAACGTACCAGCTTGTGCTGCTGTGCTTCAAACCTTATGTACAGATGTGTGTATAGGCTAACAGACTGTAAATCAGTGGTGTAGTCTATGCGATACATGGGTATACGGAGTATATCACTAGAAAAGCTTAAGAATTTCAGTATAACCACTTGAAAGTGCCCAGTGATGCACAGCGTATCATTAGGAACGTGTCATTGATGCGTTAAATGGCAGTTAAATGCTTCCATAACAATCTGTCTGTATGCAGCGCTTGTTTATTACATTTGCAAATTATTGTGTAATTAATACTTCTGTACTTACTACTTTAATACTTGAGCATGTGTTGCTTTGACACTGTGTTATAAATTCCATAACATGTTTAATACAAAGCTAACTGTTGTACAAGTGTTCAAATATAAGCATCAGAGAAATTTGGAAATGTTCAATACGCTTAAAAATCAAAATAAACTGACGATTACAATGAACTAACCGCTGCACTTTGGTTTCTTATCCCAGTACACCCACTGCAAAAATGTAGACTACACCGCTGCTGTAAATAGCATCATTTATACTTTGACCAACCCCGTACCGAGCTCAGTTGGGTTCTTCTCTAGTTTGTGGAATCACCGGTGCCTTAATGTATAAGGCAATGGATGAACACTACTGTTTTATTGTGTCTTATTGTTGTTATCTTTTTTTTTTTTGCCTGTTTTTGTTTACTATGGACCATGTATGTGTCTGAAATAAAGTTTTGGATTGACTGATTGATTAAACAGTTTTGGATTTCAAAGTGCACAGTAGAAATTGTACCAATACACAAACTGAACCATCCAAACTACAAACGTACTCTGAACTTGCTGATGTTGCGCACGTGGACCATCTCCGGGGTGTCGTACAAGAAGCAGCCGACGCCTCTAAACCACATCAGATCTTCTTTGTATTTCAGCTAAAAACATAACAAAACACAAGCGACGTTTAAGAAATACTCCCAAGTCAAAAGAGGTGGTTTTGGGACAAAAGTGATGCGATACCTCGCTGGTGATCTGGTTGACGTGGTAACAGTGCATGAGCTCGGGCGTTATGGGCATAGAGATCAGCTGGCCTTTGTTGTTGTAGTATTTCTCCTTGTAGCGCAACTACAGGACGAGAAGAGGAGATGGGATGAAGAGCGCATACTCAACCACATACGCAGCCTTAGTTGTGTGTTGCATACATCGCTGAGGTTCTTTTGGTTCATCTTGACTTGCTTGATGTCAGGAGTGTCATAAGTTGAGTGGATCTTGTCCTTTTGCTTGTGGTACGTCTCACGATACAGACGCTGGAGAGACAAAACAAAGTGAATTATCACAGATTTACGGTGGACTTTCTGTGTCCTCTGATGCGTTCACTTACGTCGTTGATGATCTTGTGAGCGTTTCTCGCACCAACAAAGTTGACGCCCTCTGGATGAAGAGTGTAGCCCTTAGCCTTCGTCATCTCGTAGGCCTCCTTGTATTTTACCTGCACGGATGAAAGCAGGGTTCGCTCACGTCCTGTCGTTACGTCTGTGAAAAGAGTGTGCGGATCTATCGAAGACTTACATTGCTGGTGACAACACGGTTGATCTTAGCCTGCTTGATGAGCGGCGTGTCGTTAGGCAGGGAGTAACCGGTGGGCATGGACTTTCTGTTGGCCTCTTTGTACAGATTCTGACCAAAACAAACATTAAACAGGGTAAGAAGGAATAATTCCCACTATGAACATCAATGGATAAACAGAAATCCAAGAATAGAACGATCAAAATGAGTTTAAACATCTAAAAATAACGTGGGTTTGCAGAATATTTAGAAACTATAGAGCTGGGTTTGTTTTTTTATTAATGCATAGTTTTTCACCAAATCTGGAACATCTATACTATTCTGTGTATTTGTAATGTTGCAGTTCCTGTTTTTATTTATTATAGAAAATTGGAGAGAACATCTAAATGCAAGTGGTACACCAATGTTCCCATGCGCTGAGGGATTTAAAGAGAATGTTTGTAGTTCTCGAGATGAATGTTTGTCTGGACTACACCAGAACAGGGAATGAAGTAAACCTTAATGGGTTTTTTTTTTTTGTGCAAGATATTCAACTGAGTAGGAGTTACACGTATAAGTATAGAGGTAGTTTTTCTTTTCCTTGTTCGAGGCAGCGCAGAGTGACGGATCCTGGCAAGTGGAGAGAACAATTTTATCCACCGCCAAGTGCAATGGAGGAGCCAGGTGGTGGCCAATCATTTGAGGAAACTATACATTTAATCAATATAAAAACTGGAAAGCATAGCTTCCTCAAATGATTGGGGTGGGCTGTTTACATACATATACATATACAGTAGTCCCTCACTATATAGACCTGAAGCTCTCGGCCTGGACCTCTATAAGTGGCTTCAAACATCTATTAAGTTCCTGTTTCTAGTTTTCTATACCGCCTTACAACCTAGCTGTTTTTCACTACTTTTTCCTTTTGATTGTCCTTTTGGTTGCCATTTTATTTTAACTTGTAAATAAATAAATAAATAAAATTAATATGTATGCCTCTTTCAAGATTGTCCACTGTTGTCATCACTATTTGTTAAAAAAAACAAAACAGGTCTCTCTTGTAAATGAGTCCCCGAGGCTCAATGGGATTAACCTGTATAAATAAAAATAAAGGTTGAAATTGCGGTTCACTTTTTTGAGACTTGTGATTCGGAGGTATTTCCGAATCCCCCTTTTCACTCCCCAACGAGGGACAATAAATTCAGTTGTTTTTAGAGAACATTTTTTTCAGTTTCTCCATTCTGTTCGTGTAAATTGAAAAATCTTTATTATTTATCAACGCTGAAAATTCTAATTCTAAACAGCAGCTGTATTAAAAAATAATTTGATATACTTTTAGCGTTAACTGTGAAAGTATAGCTTCCTGTGATTTTTACCTTTGTGGTTTTACTTCCATTTGCACTAAGCAGAGATGATGGTGAGTATACTGAAATATAAAAAAGAACGTACATCACTCTGGATGGAGTTGACCAGGCGTACTCTTTCTGTATCAACGGTGACAGCAGGAGAGGTGTTGGTGCCCTTCACATTAGCGTTGTAGTCGTAGCGGTAATGAAGCTGGAAAAACAAAAAGACAGAAAACGTGAATGGTCGTTACTCTTTTCTTTTTATTTTTATACAGGCAACACTGAACTGATTGATTTAGATTCAGATAAAATGACACAATAATCAAGAAAATGTCAAATGCAATATGTGCATACATCACTCAGGTTTTGGGCGTTCTGCTTGGCTGTCTCATAAACTGGCGTGTCCGTCACCACAGTGTAGTCCTTGAACGCCTCAATACCTTTAGCTCGGTACTTGCTCTGGAATAAAAACACGGTAATCAGCGTTACTATTGATTAAGAAAACGATGCAGCGTGCAATGAAAAAATCATAAACAATGCTAAATGGGCTTACCTCACTCTGGAGATTACCAGCATGTTTCACACGGATGATCTCTGGAGTGTCCCAGGCGTAGCAACCAATACCCTTCAGATAGTTCAAATCATCCTTGTAGAAAATCTGGGGATGAAATTAATACATTTAGCTTTTTTTGTAGTTGTATTTATTTTGTATTTAGTTGACAAAAAATAGTTTTATTTTTCAGCTTGAGCAACAATTGCAGAGCTCTGTTTTGTTTTGTTACACTGTATTTTCCTACAAAACAAAATAAGATATTAAAATGAATACATTTCTAGAAATTCAGTTATGGGTTTTTATCGTGCAGTTTTATTGTGGCTGCAGGCTGGTCGGTTACTCACGTCGCTGAGCTGCTCGTTGACTTTGCGAGCTTGGACGTACACCTGCATGTCTGGCAGACAAATCCACTGATGCAGATATTTACGGTAGTTGATCCCACTGACGCTGGCCTGCGTGTTGCGGGCCGACAGGATCTCCATCATGTCTGGAGGAATGTGGTTCTTGGCTTTTGTTTTCTCATAGTTCTCTTTGTACAGACGCTGTGAAGATACAGATGATCGTATGAGTTTTCACATCATGTATTTGGTAGAAATATAAAAAGACATTTCTTGGTTTTGTTAATTAACTCATCTTTTTTATACCAAGGTTTCAATATTCAATAATCTATTTTTATGTAAATTTACAATCCTCATTCATAGTTAAAAAAGATGTACCTGGAAGTAAGCATTTAGTCTCATTAATGGACACATGACCGTTTATTTGTGTTAAATTGCACATGAATCTTCTTGTGTTGAATCAGGCTAGTATCTAATCACATTAAAGGCTGAATCCTGTTGACTCATGTAGGTTTTTGCTGCTCATATATTTTTAATTTACAATACAATACAATATAACTTTATTTATAAAGCACTTTAAAACTAACTGGGGCCTTGTGTAGATAGTTTCGTTCCACCTCATGTACCACATGTGATGTGAATGACAATAAAAATCCTTGAATCCTTGAAAAACAACACCTTTGGCCAAAGTGCTGATATTTAATTTATAATAAATATAAATATTTTTGAATACAATAATTATATTTTTCAATGCGATAATTATATTGTTCAACACAATAATTATATTGTTCAATAAAATAATTATATTGCTCAATATGATAATTATATTGTTCAATACGATAAATATATTGTTCAATATGATAATTATATTATTCAATAAAATAATTATATTGTTCAATACGATAATTATATTATTCAATAAAATTATTATATTTTTCAATACGATAATTATATTGTTTAATAAAATAATTATATTGTTCAATACGATAATTATATTGTTTAATAAAATAATTATATTGTTCAATATGATAATTATATTGTTCAATACGATAATTATATTATTCAATAAAATTATTATATTTTTCAATACGATAATTATATTGTTCAATATGATAATTATATTGTTTAATAAAATAATTATATTGTTCAATACGATAACTATATTGTTTAATAAAATAATTATATTGTTCAATACGATAATTATATTGTTTAATAAAATAATTATATTGTTCAATATGATAATTATATTGTTTAATAAAATACTTATATTGTTCAATACGATAATTATATTGTTTAATAAAATAATTATATTGTTCAATATGATAATTATATTGTTTAATAAAATAATTATATTGTTCAATATGATAATTATATTGTTTAATAAAATAATTATATTGCTCAATACGATAATTACAATGTTCAATTTGATCATTTATCATATTGTAAGCAGTGTGACAGTGAACCTGCTATGTATTGTCATCATTGTGTGTTCCCCTACAATGACTAAATTTGTGCTCTGCATTTGACCAATCACACATAAAGACCCAAGTGGAGCAGCTATGTAAGCACCTGGGGAGCAGTGACGGAATAGGTGTCTTGCTCAAGGACACCACGACACACGGGTGGGGAGTGACTTTCCCGTCCCAAGTCAGCTGACCTATCTCTACACCCTAACCACCCCAGCAGTGTGTTGATATATGTAACAAATCAACCACGACCAGTGCTTAATTTGAGCCGGATCCTGCTGGAACAAGATCTGGGAACTTTCTTATTTTGCCAGGGTGTGTTCCGGTAACTGTTTGCTTGGATCTGGTAACTCTCAGACTTACTAATAATAAAGTTATGAACACATTTTAATGCCTTGAATGAATAAAACCTATATTGAATATGTAACCTGAAAATAATTTCATAAACAATCATTTTAAACACAACAGCCACAAATGTCTAAAAGACAGTCCAGTTTACTTTCATTAACAAAAAAAGTCTTCTCATTGTACAACTAAACAAACGAGAACTGAAGCACATGAATGCAGTGGCAATGGAGATACTGGAGCAGGAGCGAGGATGCTTGAGAGAAGCAGAACGTACTCTATTCACACAAGGAGAGCTGTTGGTCAGGCTACTTCTTGTTGCTCTCTAAAATAGTTATTGAATCAAGTGTTTACAAATGTAGGTAAACGTAGATGATTAACAACCCATTAAAATACACCAGAACGCAGGAAATGGCATCTACTTTGTTCAAAATGTTCTGGGGGAGGAGAATTTGTAATTCAATTATATACTCTACAATAAGCGTATGTAATTTGAATAAAATCCCTCAGAGTTAAAGAATAGAACCAAAATGATTGTGTTTATTTTTGTTTCACACTTATTCCGACCTGAAAAATGCTAAATCTAATTTTACTTACATCCAAGACCAGTTTTCCAGCTTTGACGCAGCGGGCGGTGGCAGGATCGTCTTGAAGCGACTTGGGTAGAGTGTAAAGTGACTTGAACTTCTCATAATCCGTCTTATACTTGACCTAAAGTGGGCAAGAGGATCCATATAATTTTGTAAAGGTGAACGGTGAAACTTACATCATAATTCTATTTTATTAGCATAAGGAAACGAGACTGTGAGAAGAGAAAATTGAACGTACATTGCTGAGAACGATCTTTTGTTGTTTGGCGTGTTGCAGTGCATTAGAGTCAGCTGGAATTTGGTAGCTCTTCGCTTTGATTTTATCCCAAGCAGATGTGTAGTTTTTCTGAGGATAGAAAAATTACAAGCTTATTAACATATTGCTGCTTCACAAAGTTACAAATTTCTTAATGCCATCTATAAAAACAACACTTTTTTATTTTTTTGCTTACGTTGCTGAAGATTAATTTGAAGTTGTGGCATCTGGCGTAATCGGCTGTGTCCAGAACAGTGGTATACAAGTGCTTCTCCTTGTGATAAGCCTCCCTGTAGTTCAACTATCAATGATAATTCAGAATTACAAATACAGTAAATTGTGATTTTACTTAAAAACTATTTTATATTAGCGCAGCTCACTCACGTCACTAGCCCAGGTGTGACCCAGGACAGCAGTCACATACTCGGGAGTGTCTGTCACAATCGAGTAGTTGTGGAATCCCTTCTTGGCGTCCACTCTGTATTTATGCTGTTAAGAACATATTAGACAGTGTTGATTAAATCAAATTCTAATTTAAGCTTTACGGAGCCATATATGTATTCTGGGCTTCTACTCACTTCACTTTGCAGATCGTAGGACTTCTTGGCACGAATAATCTCTGGCGTATCCCAAACATAACAGCCGATACCCTTCATCCAGTTCAAGTCATCCTTGTAGAACACCTATCAGAAGACATTAGTGGGAAAGAAAGGTTCAGTAAAAAATAGAAAATGTCCATTTTCCGTTTGTTCACCAACAAAACATTTAATGTGTTTTCTGTTAAAATTACCAACGGTGGCATCAATGTACAAAACAAATACTCTTCATAGACATGGGCTTGTCATATTTATTTTACAGCAGGTCTATCTTAAAGACCATAAACAGATGTGAACCAGATGTTTATGTGGCACGTTTGTACAATATCCTGATCCAGAGTCTTTCACAACGGGCACGCAGCAGTGCTAAGAAAAATAACTTACATCACTGAGAATCTCGTTGGTTTTTCTGGCACGAATGGCGTCCTCCTGTTCTGGGTGGCAAGTCCACTGGTGCAGGTAGGTACGGTAGAGGACATCGCTCAACATGTCCTGGCACCGCTTGGCTACCTGGTTAGCGATGATGTCAGGTGGGAGGTGGACCTTTGTCTTAGTTTGATGGTAGTCTTTCTGGTAGATCCTCTGTAATGACAGTTTTACTTGGATTAAAAAAGTGAAATCCTTACTGCAGGTAAAATGTAACGTAACAACTAGAGATAAATAATAACAAATACAAATTACTATAATGTAAGTAGCAGTCAGTATGGGTTTAGAGCAAATAACTCTACATCAATGGCTCTCATGGAATTGATGGAACAAATAACAATTGCTGTTGATCAAAAACAATATTGTTAGTATTTTTGTTGATTTAAAGAAAGCATTCAATACTATTGACCATAGTATTCTACATGAAAAATTGAATAAATATTGCATTAGAGGACTAGCAATACAGTGGGTATCTAGCTATTTGAAAGATAGGAAACAGTTTGTACAAATAAATGATGTAAGATCTAACCTCTGTAATAGCACATATGGAGTTCCTCAGGGTTCTGTGCTTGGACCAAAGTTATTTATTTTTATGTGAATGACTTGGTAAATGTGTCAGGACTCCTTAAATTTATTTTATTTGCAGATGATACTACTTTTTTTTTGTTTGGGTAAAGATATAGGTGTTGGAGTTGATGCAGACAGAATTTGTAAAAAAAAAAAACTTAGTTTAAACTTAATAAATTATCATTAAATTTAGATAAAACTAACTATATGATATTCAGTAATAGATAGAGAACTGTCCATGTTCCATTTAGAGGCGAGAGTGTCGAGATTTGTAGAGTTAGTCAGGTGAAGTTTTTGGGTGTTATCATCGATGACAAGCTGACATGGAAACATCACATAAATTCTGTAAGAATAAAAATAGCTAAACCTATTGCAGTAATGTACAAAGTAAGGGACTTAATGAATGATAAAGTTCTGTATATGTTGTATAACACAATCATTGTTCCACACTTAATTTATTGTATTGATGTTTGGGGGAAAGCGTGCAAAACAATTATAAATCCTATTTTTGTTTTACAGAAAAGAGCTGTAAGAATTATTACCAGGAAGCATTTCAGTCACCCATCATTTTATCATCTGAAGTTATTGAAGTTCCATGATTTGGTAGATTATAATATTTTATCAGTTATGTATAGGGCTCATAATAAATATCCAATTAAATTTTGTTAAAAGACAGAGTTGTTATCATTATTAATTAGAATTAAGTTTTCCTAAATTGACAAATCAAATCTAGCCAAAATACTTCATTTAGTTAACTTTATAGATGATAATTTACTCTGCTTTTGAACCTCATAATTCACCATAATAAAGTTGAGAAGAAAATTCCATAACCTCTTCTCGTGTTGACAAATTAAAGCCATTATTCATTCTTCAGCTGTACTCATTATTTTGACCACTTATATTCACCAAAATCGATAATAAACTCCACAAACTTGTACTTTGACTCAAAGTGTTTTTATTATATATGACATTTGAATTTAATATGAAAAGAACTCACTAGAGCACGAAAACTTGAGTCTGATTTAATCATTTTCTTGCTTAAGAACCGGAAAGCAAGTGGTGCCCCTTCAGAATAAAATTACTAATAAAAATTCAACGATCTGAGGACCCTTTCCTCTACATTTCTGAAACATAAATTTCGAACTAGTCTGAAGGAAAGGTCTACCTCAATCCAGGGAATTAGATTATGGAATAATCTGGAGAGTGATGTGAAAAATGCCAGATCAATGTTTATATTTAAGAAAATGGTCAAAGTTGGTTTGTTAAAAAAAATATAAAATAGCTTAATGTGTATTGGTGAAAAGGAGTTGTTTTGTTTTTGTTATTTGAAGATTATTATTGTTTGAATTAATTTTTTGGTAAAAAGGGGCAGATATTATAAGATTTTTTTCTTCTTTCGGCTGCCTTTCATTTTATTTGTGATTGTATTTCTTATTGTATATTGAATTGTTTTGCTTTTACAAAATGAATAAACCTATAAATAAAATAAAATAATATGGATATCTTGCTGTGTTAGCGTCTGTCTCGCGTTTTCTTGTAAAGCTGTAAACCACAAAATGAACAGAAAGAATCGGTGTCTTACCATCGGCTTATTCTTCTCCTGCTGTCCACAGCGTACGGCCTCAGGGAAATCCACCAGGGTTCCAGCCATGTAGTGACCTTTGGCTTTCTCATGGGCAATCTTGTACTTGACCTATTGTTCAAAAATTATTTTACTTACATATTATATGATTAAATAACAGATTATATGATCTTGTGTGATTCTGCCTTATAATAATAAGTCTAAAAGTAAGCATACTTACATCACTAGCAATCTCCCTGCCCTTTTTGCCGCTGACCAGGGGGATGTACTCATGGTTCAGCTGGTAGCCCGTTGCCTTGGAGTGGTCCCATTGAGATTTGTACAATTTCTGAAAACACCAACAAATGTTGCAAAAATTTAAAAGAGGCAAATAAATCACAGTGCATGTAAAAGAAATAAAGAAACGTAAGTTGTTTAAATTACCTCGCTGATGGTCTTAGCCATCTCTCTGCTGTGAGCCAGTTGAGGAGTGTCATCTGAGCCAATGTAATGACCTTTTTCAGCATTGAAGCTTTCTTTGTATTTCAGCTACAATAAAAAAAACAAAGAATTATTGCTTCATTTATTACTCATAAATATGAATTTTTGCTTAATTGTTTAAAAATCAAAAACATTAAAACTGTTGTGCTACTTACATCGCTGAGGTTGGCAGCGTTAACTTTTGCCAAGACAATCTCAGGACGATCCACAACCAGGGTGAATTTTCCAAATCCTTCTTTGGCATTTTTCGTGTAAAGCCTCTGCAGATAAAAATCACAGCAAACAAGGTGAGACAAAACAGGCGACATGTAACAGAAGACACACAGAAAATGTCTTAGAGTAGTGGAAAACAACATACATCGTTGAGAATTTCCTGAGCCTTTTTGACTTTGACGTGTTCAACAGAGTCAGCTGCCACCCAGCCATAACCGCGAATCCATTCCAGATCTGCCTTGTATGCATTCTAAGAATAAAAAAAAAACCGTTATATTTAAAAACATTTCATAGCAACTCAGTAAATTGACATGACAAGCCACATGTTGTCAGCTCACATCGCTCTGGAGCTCGTAAATCTTCCTGGCCTGGACCACGTCGTTGGAGTCCGGCAGACATGTCCACTGGTGCAGGCGAGTCCTGTAGTTGAAGTCATTCACTTGGATCTGGCATTTCTTGGCCAGTTCAAGATTCAGCATATCAGCTGGCAGGTGGAATTTAGTCTTGGACTTGTTGAAGTCCTTCTTGTACAGAACATCGCTGGCGATTTTGACTGAGTTCATAGCCAGCACGATGAGAGGATCATCCAGGACACTGAGGGCTCCGATGTGATGGCCGAGCTGTTTGCGGTATCCCTCCAGGTACTTATGCTATAAAATAAACAAAAACAATTTTCTCTGTTATTGGGTTCTCGGTTAAATAAGTTCTGAGTGGTGTTCTTAGTGTATAAAAACTTGTATAACTTTGTGCCAGTACTCACTTTACTCTGCACTTTGGTTGTAGATATGCACTGTTTGATGGGGACGGCATCTGGAGGCATGAAGTATCCTGTGGCTTTCACCTTGTCCCATGCTTCTGTGTACAGTTTCTACAAAAGACATAAATATAACTTTTTCATTGCATATCTAAAAAAAAATTATGGGTTTAAAGGAGAGAATAGCAAAATATATAAAGCAAATGTTTCAAATGAATATCTTACCGGGTGAACGTTTTTCGCCACCTCTCTGGCTGTGGCAAGAGTTGGGCTGTCCACCAGGGAGTACTTGGTCTTGTCCTGGTGCCAAGCCTCACGATATTTGGCCTGAACAAAGACAGAAACCCAAAGTTAGTTAGTAAACGCATTGGAAAGCTAAAACTGCAACATCTGAGTTATTTCATATTCAAACATGCTAATAGTGTAAAACTTGGCCTCACCTCGTTCAAGACGTCAGCAGCGTTCTTGGCACAGGCCAGGTCAACTCTGTCCACAGGAACCGTGTATTTCTGCTCATCCAACTTGACACGGTAGCCTCTCTGTGACAAAAAAAAAAAAGATGTATGCAGTAAAAAACAAACAAACAATCAAATAAAAGACATGACTAACTATAATCAAGACATTTTAAAAAATGAACACTATATTTCAGGAGTTTGTACTAGGTGTGGAGATAGACAAGTGTAAAACTTACATCAGCCAGAATCTTTTGTGCGTGTTTCACTTTTATAACATCCACACATTCATGTGGCATCCATCCACAGCCACGTATCCACTCGAGATCGGCTCTGTACACCGCCTGGAAGACGACAGATTTGTTTTCAAAAATGAATATAAAGTATCCAGGCAGTTAAAGAGATTCATGACTTGCAATAGAGAATTTGATGGAATACTCTCCACATATATACTCACATCACTCTGGAGGTCATAAACCTTCCTGGCCTGGACCACGTCATTGGAGTCCGGCAGACAGGTCCACTGGTGCAGGTGGGTTCTGTAGTTGAAGTCGTTGACTTGGATCTGGCATTTCTTGGCCAGCTCCAGGTTCAGCATGTCCACTGGCAGGTGGAACTTGGTCTTGGACTTGTTGAAGTCCTTCTTGTACAGAACATCACTGGCGATCTTGGCTGAGTTCATAGCCAGCATGATGAGGGGATCATCCTGGACACAGCGGGCGCCGATGTGGTGGCCGACCTGTTTGCGGTATCCTGTCTTGTACTTGTACTATTAAAACAAACATAAGGCAAAGCGTAAATGGAAATTCAGAGAATAGATCATTGATTAATATATTGATTTGTTCTTACATCGCTAATGATGTCTCTGGAAGCTTTGGCCCTTAGAACAGAGATGGCGTCCTCTTTGACGTTGCAAGCTTTAGCCTTTTGTTCATCCCATGCCTTTGTGTACAGCTTCTGCTCAGGACAAGGAGAATAAAATTAAAACTTACATGTAGAGTACTTGGATATCTTTTCACACTTGGGATAATATTTTCAAGCCAATAAGCAGTTCAGTGTAGGCAGAATTATTATCTAGTTATCTCAGTTGAAATTATTACAGACTTACACTGCTGACGTTGATTGCATTGGCCTTGGCCAGTTCGTAAGGGGGGATGTCAGGTGGAATATGTATGACAAGCTTGTCTTTGTCCCAGACTTCCCTATATTTCCTCTGTTAAAAGACAAGAAAAAAAATTAAAACAAATACAAAAAAAAATCACAATTTATAAACAAATTAAATATTTAATATAAAGAAACATTTGTGGTAAGACGTAAAGACTCACGTCACTGAGGATGTCAGCGTTTTGCTTGGATAAGACGATAGCTGGGAGGTCGGCGACGCTGGTGAACTTGACGGTGCTCGGGTGCTGGCGGTAGAGTCTGTCATTAAGAACGGTCTGAGCGTGTTTAACTTTGACAACGTCCACAGAGTCATGAGGCGACCAGCCGCATCCTCTCAGCCACTCCAGATCAGCTTTGTAAACAGCCTAAAAAGACAAAAGTACGTTTAATCCCCCTGGTTTGTTTTTAGATTTAAACTTAAACACAGATATACGTGAGATATCAGAATATGTTAGAAACTTTAAGATTTATGCTGGTAAAGCTCAGGATATGATTACTGGACAATAAACAAGCAGATCAAGCTCAACGTGTACTCACGTCGCTCCGTAACTCGTAGACCTTTCGTGCCTGGACCACATCGTTGGAGTCTGGCAGGCAAGTCCACTGGTGAAGGTGAGTTCTGTAGTTGAAGTCATTGACTTGTTGCTGGCACTTCTTGGCCAGTTCAATCGTTAGCATGTCAACTGGGAGGTGGTACTTGGTCTTGGTCTTGTTGAAATCCTTCTTATAGACATTGTCACTGGAGATTTTGGCTACATGAGCAGCCAACAAGATCAGCGGGTCATCGTTAACACTGAGGGCACCAATGTGATGGCCGCACTGCTTGCGGAAACCAGCCTTGTATTTGTACTGGAAGTTTGATAAATAAAAACGTTTCCATCAATTTTTTTTATTGCGTTGATATTTATACAATGCTACAAAATTTGCAGTGGAAAAAAAAAAAACGAGCAATACGGAAATAACTTGTAAAATTAAGAGATGACAGTGTGAAAAGGCAAAGGGGTACAAACTTACATCGCTGACGATATCACGAGATGCTTTGGCTGCCAGAACAGAAACGGCATCTTTGGGAAGGAAGTAACCCTTGTTGATGGTGTTAACAAAACCTTCACGATAATATTTCTGGGGGGGAAAAAAACAAAGATTGTTGTTAGTTTTCAAAAATATTTTATGTGCAACTAAGTTCTTCACATTGCCCTATGAGTTCAATACGATGCATAGCTTATATAACAATTGCAGATACGATTACAGATAAGTCTCAAAAGCATTTGGTTGTATAAATGTGCAAAAAGCTGCTTCATTACCAGACTGGTGTTGAGTTTATTCTGTTTGGCCAGAATGATTTCTGGAGTGTCCGGCATGACATGAATCATGGTCTTGTCCTTCTCCCAGGCCTCGATGTAGGCTTTCTGTAAACCAAATGTAAAATATATATTGTTTACATGTACTGTATAGTTTGATGCCAAACAATCAATTAGGCCCATAAACATTGTATTTAATGTAAATATTAAAAGAACTCATAAACAAATGCCTTTGGTACCTTGTTCATGATTTGAGCATTAGCCTGAGCGAGGGCATATGGCATGTCCGTTGTGCTAGCAGTGAACTTGAATTTGCTGGGATGCTGCCGGTACTTCCTGTCAGTCAGGATCTCTGCTGCTTTCTTGGCCTTCTCCACATCCAGTGAACCAATCGGCACCCATCCAGTTCCCTTGATCCATTCCATGTCAGCCTTGTACACAGCCTATAAGCAGCATGAAATGAGTCAGAAATAGTCTTTTTAAAAGCTAATAATAACATTAATGCACTGTTCAGCAACAGGGCGGCATGGTGAGTCGCCACCTTTCTGGGTGGAGTTTGCATGTTCTCTCTGTGCATGCGTGGGTTTTCTCCAGGTACTCCGGTTTCCTCCCACAGACCAAAAACATGCATGTTAGGCTGATTGGTAACTCTAAATTGTCCCTAGGTGTGAGTGAGAGAGTGAATGGTTGTTTGTCTTGTTTGTCTCTATGTGTCCCTGTGATGGACTGAAGACCTGTCCAGTGTGTCCCCCGCCTCTTGCACTGCGATGGCTGGATATGGGCACCAGTGACCCCCGTGATCCGAAAAGGAAGAACCAAGTAAAGATAATGGACGGATGGATATTCAGCAAAGATATTATAGTAAATTAACTGTACTTGCATCACTTCGGAGGTCATAAGCCTTTCTAGCCTGGACCACGTCGTTGGAGTCTGGCAGACAGGTCCAGTTGTGAAGGTGGGTTCTGTAGTTGAAGTCGTTGACTTGGATCTGGCATTTCTTGGCCAGCTCCAGGTTCAGCATGTCCACAGGCAGGTGGAACTTGGTCTTGGACTTGTTGAAGTCCTTCTTGTACAGAACATCGCTGGCGATCTTGGCTGAGTGCAGAGCCAGCACGATGAGAGGATCATCCTGGACACTGAGGGCGCCGATGTGGTGCCCAAGCTGTTTACGGTATCCTGTCTTGTACTTGTACTGTGTAGAGATAAAGCACAATTTTAGTTAAAAACATAGAAACATGCATGGATTAAAAATAAGTCATAAAAGTATGGAGTAACATGACACATACATCACTTATGATATTTCTTCCATGTTTGGCAGCAATAACGGAGACAGCATCGGGCATCATATTATAGCCCTTTCGGAACATCTTCTCAACTGCCTCCCTGTAGATTTTCTGCAAAAACACAGAAGCAACATAAATTAAATGTAGACGGTAAAAGGAACGAGAAAAGGCGAAATCATTGAAAAGCGATCACACATACATTGCTGATGTTGTAGGCATTAGCTTTAGAAAGCAATATTTCAGGAATGTCAGGGGTCACATGGGTCTTGATTTTATCTGCTTCCCATGCAGCGATGTAGTTTCTCTGTGGAGATTAAAAAAAAAAAACATAAACACTGAGAAGGGGCATAACGAATGAACAGAATTCCAAAATGAGAATGTGCGACTCTTTACCTTATTAATGGTTTCAGCATTAGTTTTAGCTAGGACCATGGGCATGGAGGTCATGTCGGTCTTGAACTTCAGTGTGTTTGGTTTCAGCCTGTACAGATGATCGCTGAGAATCGTTGCAGCATGCTTGGCCTTCACCACATCCAGGGAACCAATGGGGATCCACCCTACGCCAATGACCTCATCCTTGTCAGCTTTGTATACAGCCTGCGAGAAAAAAGCTCAAATTTTAGATAACACAAAAAACAGTAATGTGACATAAAGAAAAAGCCACAGAGGGACTCACATCACTCTGAAGATCATAGGCTTTCCTGGCCTGGACTACGTCATTGGAGTCCGGCAGACAGGTCCACTGGTGCAGGCGAGTTCTGTAGTTGAAGTTGTTGACTTGGATCTGGCATTTCTTGGCCAGCTCCAGGTTCAGCATGTCCACTGGCAGGTGGAACTTGGTCTTGGACTTGTTGAAGTCTTTCTTGTACAGAGCATCACTGGCGATCTTGGCTGAGTTCAGAGCCAGCATGATGAGGGGATCATCTTGGACACAGCGGGCACCAACATGGTGGCCAACCTGCTTACGGTATCCTGTCTTGTACTTGTACTGATGAATTGACAAGAAAATTGTTGATTACACAACTAAGACATTGTTCACATTATAGCGGCAAATGAATACAATAGACACAGTAAACTGTATGGGTTGCTCACATCGCTGACGATGTCCCTGGAAGCTTTAGCAGCCTTGACAGAGACGGAGTCTGGAGGAAGGAAGTAGCCTTTACTGATGGTCTCCTCAAAACCTTGTCTGTAAAGTTTCTGCGAGAAAAGAAACAAACGTTTCAAAGTTTTTCAAAAACTACTAACAATGTCACAGAACCCAGAACAATAATCTAGTCTCTGTTTTCTCTAGTCAGCGTGAACTAAAAAGGTAAACAAACTTACCATTTGCCTCCAAATCATATAAAAATGACCATAAATACAAACTAATCAAAACTGCAAGACAAAAACTGATCTTATTGAAATGATTGTTGCTAAGGTCAGAAATCAAAAAGGATTGTTCTATTTAAAATTTGTTATAAAGAATTTGACTAACCTTGCTCATGTTGATAGCATTTTGTTGAGAGAGAATAATCTCAGGAGTGTCCGGCATGACGTGCACCTTGGTCTTCTCGTTCTCCCATGCTTCTGTGTAGAGGCGCTGCAGCAAACCACAAAAATATTACATCTTACTTGAAACTTTCTACCAGAGAAAAATGAAAATGCAACAGTTTCCAAATGTGGATTATAGGTTTTACCTTGTTCATCGTCAAGGCATTATTCTTTGCCAGCACAATATCCATGGCGTCAATGGGGCTAGTGAAATGAATAGTGCTGGGATGCTGGCGGTACGTCCTGTCAGTCAAGATCTCTCCAGCCTTCTTGGCTTTTTCCACATCAAGTGAGCCAATGGGGACCCAGCCCAGACCCTGCAGCCACTTCAGGTCAGCTTTGTAGACAGCCTGCAATGCACAACAACAGATAATTTGATTTATGCCATACATAAAAACAAAACCAGAGGAGTTTACAAACAAATTTGAAAGTAATATTCACATCACTCTGGAGGTCATATGCAGTTCTGGCCTGGACCACGTCGTTGGAGTCCGGCAGACACGTCCAGTTGTGCAGGTGGGTTCTGTAGTTGAAGTCATTGACTTGGATCTGGCATTTTTTGGCCAGTTCAAGAACCAGCATGTCCACTGGCAGGTGGAACTTGGTCTTGGACTTGTTGAAGTCTTTCTTGTACAGAAAATCGCTGGAGATCTTGGCTGAGTTTATAGCCAGCATGATGAGAGGATCATCTTGGACACAGCGGGCACCGATGTGGTGACCCACCTGCTTACGGTATCCTGTCTTGTACTTGTACTGAAAAAAGAGAAACATTTAGTACATATAAAACACATAAAATAGCATTTTGGAATCAATATCTAGCTTTAATTTATTTAGCTTGACATTACTTTGAATATTAGTCGAACTATGCATCCTCCTATAAGATAATTATCCAAGATGAAAAATCACTCACATCACTGGCAATGTCTCGAGATGCCTTGGCTGCAAGAACGGATACAGCATCGCCACGCAGGTCGTAGCCCTTCTTCTTTGAATCCTCATTTGCCTGCTTGTACTTTTTCTGCAAACAAACATAAAGTGTAAGCATTTACTACTTGAAGTGCTACAGAGTATTGTTGCCAACATCTGTTTAGCTTCAACGTACCACACTGTAGTTGACATTGTTGGCTTTGGCTAACAGAATGTCCATAGCATCAGGCATGACGTGGATCTTTGTCTTCTCGTTCTCCCAGGCTTCGATGTATGCTTTCTAGAATAACAAAAGTACAAGAATTTACATGATATTTTTCCAATATGATATGAATAATCAATTGAATTGCCTATTTTGGTGTAATACCTTGTTCATTATCTGTGCATTGGCCTTAGCCAGCACTACAGGCATGTCCTCAGAGGTGCACTTGAATTTGAAGTTGCTTGGATGCTGACGATACTTTCTCTCACTCAGGACCTCAGCAGCTTTCTTCGCCTTCTCAACATCCAGTGAGCCTATAGGCACCCATCCGATACCCTGCATCAACCTTAGGTCCTCTTTGTACACAGCCTGGACAAAACATATGTAAAACACAAGATGAATAGTGCCCAATGAGGTAAAAATGATACACATTTATAGTTTAGAACTGAATCAACTTTCCACAGAACTCGTAAAGACATATACTCACATCACTCTGGAGGTCATAAGCATGCCTGGCTTGGACCACGTCACTGGAGTCCGGCAGACAGGTCCACTGGTGCAGGTGGGTTCTGTAGTTGAAGTCGTTGACTTGGATCTGGCATTTCTTGGCCAGCTCCAGGTTCAGCATGTCCACTGGCAGGTGGAACTTGGTCTTGGACTTGTTGAAGTCCTTCTTGTACAGAACATCGCTGGCGATCTTGGCTGAGTTCAGAGCCAGCACGAGCAGAGGGTCGTCCTGCACGCTGCGGGCACCGATGTGGTGACCGACCTGCTTACGGTATCCTGTCTTGTACTTGTACTGAAAACGAAGAACAAAACAACTTGTCCATAAATGAGAGCTACGGTATATTAAAGCAACTGTATTATTAACAATTCTGCATTGTTAAACTGCTTCATTAGGAACGTGTTTGTGCATTTGTCTCATTTTTAGAATAGTTTATAACAACAAGGACAGAAAAGGAGAACATTTTACATCGCTGGCAATATCCCTGGAGGCCTTTGCTGCTTTGATTGAAATGGCATCGTTGCGCATGTCATAGCCCTTCTTCTTGGCGTCTTCATTTTCCTGCTTGTACCTTTTCTGAAAATCATCAAAAACATTGCATATATAATAATGACTAATATTTTGTTTCAAATATAAAAGTTGGAGTTTTCATTAAACACATATGATGTAAAAAAAATGTACATAATTATATATATTTATATAAAGATTGGTAGCATTAAAGAAATCTTACCAAGCTGTAGTTGTAACTGTTAGCTTTGGCAAGAAGCACATCCATGGCGTCAGGCATGACATGGATCTTGGTCTTCTCTTTCTCCCAGGTTTCAATGTAGGCTTTCTGCAGATGTGGATAAATGCAAAAATATGTACTCATTGAACGTGACAAACAATTTTCTTTTGGGACAATTATAGTGGATGAATTAAATTTGCACTTAAAGGGTTTATGAAAGCATACCTTGTTCATTATCTGTGCATTGGCCTTAGCGAGCACTACTGGCATGTCCTCAGAGGTGCACTTGAATTTGAAGTTGCTTGGATGCTGACGATACTTTCTCTCACTCAGGACCTCAGCAGCTTTCTTCGCCTTCTCGACATCCAGTGAGCCTATAGGCACCCATCCGATACCCTGCATCAACCTTAGGTCCTCTTTGTACACAGCCTGGACAAAACAAACATGGTTAAGTGGGAACCCCCCCCTTTTTTTTATTTTGTTTTATAAGCAAAACAAAGCTTTAGGAAACAGCACTCACATCACTCTGTAGGTCATACGCATGCCTGGCCTGGACCACGTCGTTGGAGTCCGGCAGACACGTCCACTGGTGCAGGTGGGTTCTGTAGTTGAAGTCGTTGACTTGGATCTGGTTCTTTTTGGCCAGTTCAAGAATCAGCATGTCCACTGGCAGGTGGAACTTGGTCTTGGACTTGTTGAAGTCCTTCTTGTACAGAACATCGCTGGCGATCTTGGCTGAGTTCAGAGCCAGCACGAGCAGAGGGTCGTCCTGCACGCTGCGGGCACCGATGTGGTGACCGACCTGCTTACGGTATCCTGTCTTGTACTTGTACTGAAAATGAAGAACAAAACAACACATCCACAAATTAGATAACTGTAGTATTTTGCATTGTTAAATATTCAAATTAGTGTCAGTAAGCAGACAAATTAGTTAGAAAATAAAAAATATATTTTACATCGCTGGCAATATCCCTGGAGGCTTTTGCTGCTTTAATTGAAATGGCATCATTGCGCATGTCATATCCTTTCTTCTTGGCGTCTTCATTCGCCTGCTTGTACAGTTTCTGTGCAGACAAACAAAACACATGTTCAGGCATCTTCTTTAAAATGTACGACAAAGCGTGACGTTTCAACTGGAGCAACTTTTTGCTCAGCGGTAAAAGGACTCACCTCACTGTAGATGACTTTGTTTGCTTTGGCCAGAACGACGTCAATGGCATCAGGCATGACGTGAACGCTGGTCTTGTCTTTGTCCCAGGCTTCAGTATAGGCTTTCTGTGAGGATTTCATGTTGCCTTAGTCATCACTCAAACAATATTTTTAATAAACCAGATACAAACATGACAGATTAGATCCGACTTAGTTCAGAGTAACTTAATATGATTTAATGATGTAAAAACAGCCAAGGAGAGAACCTTTTTGACTCTGTTTAGTAAATATTCTGTATTGTTCCAGTCAGAATGACTCATTTTAAAGTGGGCTGTGTCCAGATAAATACATGCATTAGTAAATGCTGTGGTTATTTGTTTAAAATAATAATTTTGTATTAAATAATATTCTTTCCATTTATTTGTTTGCATCAAATGCTGCTATGTTATGTCTTCCATATATTTATCAGTTATCTGGAGAAAAAAAACATAAAAAAAAAGTGAAACTAGAAACAAAATGTAAGGAAACAGGTCAGTTTTATACCTTGTTCATAATTTGAGCATTGGCCTTAGCCAGTGCCATGGGCATGTCCTCAGTGGTGCATTTGAACTTGTAGTTGCTTGGATGCTGACGGTACTTTCTCTCACTCAGGACCTCAGCAGCTTTCTTCGCCTTCTCAACATCCAGTGAGCCTATAGGCACCCATCCGATGCCCTGCATCATCTTCATATCCTCCTTATACATATTCTGGACAAAGCACAAGGTTTGTTATTTTGTATTATTACCAAAAAAAAGTTTTTAAAAGCACAGAGATTCATACTTACATCACTTTGTATGTTGTATGCATGTCGGGCCTGGACCACATCGTTTGAGTCTGGCAGACAGGTCCAGTTGTGCAGACGTGTAATGTAATTGGCATGGTTGACCTGAATCTGATTCTTCTTGGCAAGCTCAAAGGCCAACATGTCCACTGGCAGGTGGAACTTGGTCTTGGACTTGTTGAAGTCCTTCTTGTACAGAGCGTCACTGGCGATCTTGGCCGAGTTCAGAGCCAGCATGAGCAGAGGGTCATCCCGGATGCTGAGGGCACCGATGTGGTGACCGACCTGCTTACGGTACCCTGTCTTGTACTTGTACTAACAGAAAGCATGAGAGTTTTTTATTGCTAAAGTCTGGTAAGTTAAAGAAAAGAATAGTAATGTAGATGATAGATCCACACAGACACTTACGTCACTAGCAATAACAGAGGAGACTTTAGCGGCCTGAATTGCAACAGCATCAGCACGAACATTATGGCCCTTCTTCTTGGCTAACTCGTTATCCAATTTGTATAGTTTCTGCAAAAAACAAAGAAAAATAAATGAAATCTGGTTCATCTACAGAGATGTGAAATAAACAAAATTATCTAAAAGGTCAGTAAAATGAAGGCAGCATACCTCACTGTAGTGTTTCCTGTTCTCCCTGGCTAGAACAATGTCCATAGCATCTGGCATGACGTGGATTGACGTCTTGTCTTTATCCCAGTCTTTTGTGTAGGATTTCTGAAAATTAAAAAAAATAGTAATTGTTGCTTTTCAGGAAGTTAATACCTAAAAGAATATTAAAAGTTCATTCTGCTCAGTACCTTATCCATAATCTGGTTGTTTGCAGTGCACAGAGCCAGATCCATCGACTGCATGTCTTTGGTGAATTTAAAGTTGCTGGGGTGCTGACGGTAGTGCTTCTCACATAAAATTTTTCCGGCTATTTTTGCTTTTTCCACATCAAGCGAACCAATCGGAACCCATCCGATTCCCTTCATGTAGCTGTCGTAATCCTTCTTGTACTCATTCTGAAGTGGAAAATGCAAACAGAAGAAACGTGGTATGATCTATTGCATCATGATTCCGTACAACATTCAACAATACTGTGAAGACTTAACAAATAAAAACTTGATAAAAATAATAAGTGGGGTTTTCTACATACGTCACTGGCGATAAACTGCATGTTACGAGCCAGTTCCAGGTTCATGGCACCAGGGAGGAGCAGATTAGTGTGCTGGATCTGTCTGTATCCCATCATAGTCTGAACAGTCGAGGCCTGCTTGGCTTGAACTACACTCCACATGTCCACTGGAGTGTGATACTTCAGCTTGGACTTGTGGTAGTCCTTCTTGTAGAGCTTGTCGCTCTGTATCTTAGCCA